TATATATATATATAATGAGAGGGAAAAAATCCAAAAGATTGAGATAATAGATAAATAGGATCTTTGGCCAAAAAGAGGTGTGAAGTCATCAGTCTATATATATAGTTTGAGTTTTAAGAGTAACCAATATTAAAAGACTCGCATGAGGATACCTCGGCAGTGGAAGCATCAAACACCACAATTGAGCTTGGCAAAAATGATCAGTCCAGTTTGCTGCTTCACCTCAAGAAGGTGATTTTGTATAGATAAGTTAATTGATTTATCACTGTTTTCCTTATGATTGATTCTTCAATATTTATGTGTTGCTTTAACAATATTGTTAATCAATTCCATAATAAGTACTGTTTTCCCCACTTCAGCTCCCCCGAATCGTCTGATTTTTCCTCCACGACGATAAGGGACTAAGGTAAAGTGTCGATTTATGTATATGTAGATGACAGGGAACAACTGGGACGAATATCTTCCACGTGCTCCAGGCACTGAAGGCACTATTCTTTTCTATATCGGTTCTCATGCTCATATAAAACTAATGAAGAGCAGTGGTGCAATTGATGATTCTACCATTGAAAAGATTGAGAATGTTTCCTTGTGAGCGCATATCTTAGCTTCTTTCTTGGAATTCTTCTGCAGCTAAGAGTTGCATTTTATATGGTTTGGTAATTATATAATAAGTTGATGAATTGCATGCATGTCTTTGTGATGGGTCGCAAGAGTTGCTAATAATATTTCTTTCAATTTTATATCCTGTATACATCTTGATGTTTAACAGTACACTATGAAGGTTATATATTTACTTTACAAAATATTTAATAAGCTATTTGGATTAGTCTTTTTATAATTCACACTTGATATTATACTACGACAACTATATATATCTCCACTTTGTAGTATTTTTAATCAAATGTTTTGGATAGTTTTTGGTAATCTTCCATTTTATAAAATTTGTACCGATTAATATGGAATATACGTGCAACACACACACACACACACATATATATATATATATATATATATATACACACACACACTTGAGATAGTCTCTGAAAATGCCAAAATTATAAACAACAACGGAGAAGACGAGCGAACTTATCATTGAAAGTACCAAAAAAGTATTGGATTATTCTATTCCAATTTATTTTTCATATGTATTTTTCCGTTATATATGCCTTCTTTTGTTTAAAAAAATTTATATGTATATCTTGCCTTATGTATTTGTCATTTTAAATTTTTTGTATTTAGCGTATGATTAGTGCGAACAAATTCACTAGTATTTAAATATTCTCAGCGGTTATAAGCTAGTACATAAGCACCATATGGGTACAATATTAATAACATAGCCAACATAATTATTTAATAGGTGCCCATAAAGATAACTACATCGGTTTACAAACGATTACAATTATTTCAAATTTATACTAACCACATTATGTAATAAGACCAGTAGTATACATATGTATACTAATTTGTGGCGCACGGATACAACACAACAAAAACTTATTCAAACAGATGCCTTTGCTGAACAGTAGTTTGCTTGACAAATAGCCATACAACTGCCGAACTTCTCTTTGTCTGGAAATTTGAAAAAATATTGATTAAGTGTTAGATATCGCCAAATACAAGCGAATAGTATGAATTATGAGTTATAAGTAGGGGTATCAAATAGGAAAGGTTAGGCTAATTTTGGGCGAATTAAAATGGCTTGGGTCATAACCCTTCCAAAATTTGCTTGGTGACACATGGATTAATATGAGTTAAACTATTGATCATAATACAATCCATCCAAATCAAATATTTTTTATTTATCTATAAAAACATTATTCATTCTCTATCTGTTGGGGCAACAATGTTATTAAAATTGGGCCATATTTTATATTTTTATCCGTTATTGTGTATATAACATAAATATTTTTTTTCATTCTTTATCCCAATATTAAAAACCTACAAAAACTACAGTATAATCTCACTAGTGGGGTCTGGGAGGATAGTGTGTACGATTATTTCCATTAAATAACTTCAAGTTTTATAAACAACCTTCTTAGACTATTTCTAACAAATCTAAACAATACTCATTCCAAATTGCTTATAAAATCATATTCGAACTTCAAATACACTTATTTAAGCTTGCTCAATAATGGTGGATTACCTTAAGAATTTAATTTTCACCACCCAAAAGGATTTGGTTTGTAAAAATGATGTTTGAACCACAATTATTGATTCTCAAAGGATTAGAAGTTTAAGCTTTAAGAAACAAAGCTGAATAGTATTTTCGAAAACTTATTTGAAGTTGGATGTTGAATCGTGGTCTATTATATTTGGGCTACAACTTTGCAAAGTTATATATAGGCCATCTGATTGCAATATATGTGTGTGGACTGTACTTGTGTGTAATTCTCTTTTTGCTTATTTATTAATCACAAAATCAAAATGACGAAAGCTTCTTCTTTTAGTATCATAACTTTATCTAACCAGGTAAACCCGTAAAATTTAGGTTTTTGATATTTTCATAAGTTTCCTTGCTGATTAATTTGGGCTAAATAGGTTGCCGAAGCTAGGTCACATTTTTGGATGCGCTAACTATTGTTATGCTCAAATATATATTTGGGCTATATATATATATATTATGCACCCAAAATACCACACGAATTAGAGAAATTATATTTTCATAGGTTTAGTTTGACATCCCAAATCATAAGAGAGAGAGAGGAGAGAATATTTATTATACCGTTAAGGAGAATATAGTTCATGCATCTTCCATAAGCGCATTCATGGTTACAAACACCACTTTTATCAGCCGCAATTGAAGCAAAAGACTGGAAACATGCCATAGAGGGGCAATCGCCTAATAGAGCGCACTTTGCCATGCATGAAGGCAGCGACGGATCTATGTATTGAGTCGGGAGTGGCACGCTACCTGATCGTTCGGATAAAGTTTTATATACGTACTAGTATTTTCCACAAAAATACCTACATAGGGAACAAGTGGCATCCCAAATCACAAAATGATTGAAGGTGCCATGGTTGAAGTGCTGAAATTCCATGCACAACACCCAGGATCAAGATTCTCTGAATGCAATTGTTGTTCCCTTTCTGTTCTTTTTGTTAATTTCTCTTATTTTTCCTTTCTGTTCTTTTTTGTTAATTTCTCTTATTTTCCATTTCTGTTCTTTTTTATTAATTTCTCTTATTTTCTTCATCTTAAATATTTATTCGTATTTTATTTGGATGGATGTAATCTAATCATTTTTTATTCATATAATATTATTTTATTAATTATAATTTTTTTTTTAATAGCGATGCATTAAAGACATAATATAATATTAATCAGCTACATGTAGATGGAAGGGGTGTATCGCATATTCGTTTATGCATAAAATAAATTTTAAATTTGATTGAATAAATTCAAAATGGAGCGAACCGAAGTAATCCAAAACGGATTGAATTGACTGAATGTACACCTTAATTCAATCTTCTTTATTAATGGTCGTTTACTATTAAAATAGTGACACCCATAACCATAAAATCCTGAATCCGCCTCTGCACGAAAGAATGGTGAGAATACATTGAGTCGCATAACCAATGCCCCCTGTCCTTACTAGGCAATCCCTCACAGATTCAGAAGACACGGGTCACCCTGAAAAGAGAAGGATTGCAAGCACAAAATGTAATTTAACACCTAACTTTCCCTCCATATTGAACCTTTCCTATTTTATTGATGTTAGGCTGATATATTAGTGTGAAAATAGGTAGAAGATTCATAAATACTTATAGTCACACATGCAGAAGAATTAGCAGATTCATAGTTTTGTCTTTAGTTTGTCTTTTGCTTCAGAAGAATTAATGCATTTTAATAAAGAGACGAAATGTGAACCACCGTGTGTCACACTGCACGAATAATTTTGCCATAATTATTTTTCCAATTTTGGACATACTAGTTAGGATTTTTGTGGAGTATCTTGGACTAAAACATGTCCCACTTTGTTAGAGCATTAAATACACCATTAGTTTAAAGCTTTTGTAACCAAGATTTATTTACTCTCTTCACGGTAAGACCTTATTATGTGACTTTAATGCTTAGTGTTTTTATTCTAGTTTTCATGAGTAGATAACTTAATTACTAAGATTGTGAACCCAATGATGGGTGTAATGTATGTGTGTTTACCATTGAATCCTATTATTTCTATAATAATTCAGGGACTAGAAAATAATTTAAACCTATTTCATTCCCCCGATTTGGTACTCGGCATGGTCATGAATACTTATAGTTACACATGCAAGAATTAGCATATTCATAGTTTAGTCTTTAGCTTTCATTGTTTTGTCTTTTGCTTCAGAAGAATCAATGCATTTTAATAAAGAGACAAAATGTGAACCACCATGCGGCCGGCCGTGTGTCACACTACATGAATAGTTTTGCCATAATTATTTCTCTAATTTTGGACCATTAAAAATAGACTAATTAGGATTTTTGTGGAGTATCTTGGATTAAAAAGTGTCACACTTTGTTAGAGCATTAAATGCACCATTATTTTAAAGCTTTTGTGAACAAGATCATTTACGTTAAGACCTTTTTTCATTGTATGACTTTAATGCTTAGTGTTATTATTCTAGTTGTTGTGAGTAGTGAGCTTTATTACTGAGGTTGTGGACCTAATGATAGGTATAATTTATGTGTGTTTACCATTGAATCTTATTATTTATATAATTCAGGGACTAGATAAAATAACTTGACACCTCTCGTAGTCCAAGAAACTTATTTATTTTCTCCATATTATATCATTTCCCTTATTATTCTTTTCATTTTAATTTATGTTAGAATTTCAAAATTCATGTCCCTTAGAATACATCGTGTAAAAGAAGTTCAATATCCATTACTATTAAAAAGAAAATCAATTACTGCCTAACCGCTCACTTGCAATTAATTCTCAGCATATGCCACCTACTATTTCTTCAAGGAATGAAGAGTGATATACCTACTCATATTCATAATTACATGATCATGGTTGTAGAAAATAAAATTAACATTGACAATAAAGAACTAGTAAAAATAATTTTTGCCTATTTCATTTCCCCGATTTGGTACTCGGCATGGTCATGAAATTCATACATATTACTGTAGGTCCGCCCTGTCATAAATACTTATAATCGTACAATTCATAAGCATCAGCGAATTCATAGTTTAGTCTTTAGCTTTCATTGTTTTGTTTTTTGCTTCAGAAGAATCAATGGATTTTAACAAAGAGACAAAATGTGAACAACATGCGGGCCGTGTGTGACACTGCAGGAATAATTTTGTCATAATTATTTCTCCAATTGTGGACCATTAAAAAGAGACTAATTAGGATTTTTGTGGAGTATCTTAGATTAAAAAGTGTCACACTTGGTTAGAGCATTAAATACACCATTATTTTAAAACTATAGTGAACAAGATCATTTACTTTTGTGATGACCCAAAAAGTCATCTTTAAATTTAATAATTAATTATGTGTTTTAAAACCTAGAAAAGTACTATTTATCATTCCTCGACTTGCGTGCATAGCCCGTATAATTTTTCGGAAAGTTTTTTGTGTGAAAAATGGATTAAAATATGAAATAAAGCTTTAAAACTCAACTGAGTTAATTTTGGTCAATATTTTGAGCAAACAAACTCGAATCAGTATTTTGACAGTCTCGGTAGGTCCGTATCGTCATTTGGGACTCGAGCATATTCCCAGAATCGAATTTCGAGGTCCCTAACCCGAGATATGGATTTTTGATGAAAAATTAAAAGTTTAAAAGTTTAATAATTTTTAAGAATTTACTGATATTGGATTTATTGACACATGGTCCGTATTTTAGTTTCGGAGCCCGCTATAGGTCCACTATAATATGTATGACTTGTTTGCCAAATTTGGTGAGAAACAGAGTTGATTTGTCGTGATTCGGACGTCCGGTTGTGAAAATATAAGTTTTAAAGTTTTCTTGAAAATTTCCTTTAATTTGGTGTCCGATTCATAGTTCTAGGTATTATTTTGGCGATCTAATCGCGCGAGCAAATTCGTATGGTATTTTAGGACTTGTGTGCATATATGGTTTGGAACCCCGAGGGCTCGGGTGTAATTCAGATCAGGATCGACGCATTTTGGAACCATGAAACTGCCGAACCTGCTGCTACTGGTTTCCTTCTATGCGATCGCGTGACTGTGTCCGCAATCGCGAAGGCTTAATGGTCACAGATGAAATTTTTACTATGCGATCGCATAGTGAGGTCTGCGATTGCACAGTGACAGCAGGCAAAGCACCGCGAATGCGAGGTCCAAGCCGCGTTCGCGTAGAAGGAATGAGGCAGAAGGTGAAGCACAAAATTTGTACTACGTGATCGCACAATGATGTCCGCGATTGCGGAAGGCTAAGAAATTGTGCTTCGCGTTCGCGAGAGCACTGCCGCGTTCGCGTAGAGCAAAAAGTTGGGCAGCCAAAAATGTGCTTCGCGATCGCGAAGCATTGTACGCGATCGCATAAGGTAAACTCTCGGGGAACAGAACTTAAGTTCTAGAAATGGGATTTCGTCCCATTTTCAACCATTTTCCATATTAAGGCGATTCTTGAGCGATTTTCACGGAAAAATATTGGGGTAAGTGTTCCTTATCCTATATTGATTATATTTCATGATTCCATACTCATTTATATCATGAATCCATGAAATTTTGGGAGAAAAATCAGATTTTTATAAAATTTTCCAAAAAACGAAAATTTAAGATTTCAAGGTCCATTTGACATCGTAATTTGATAATTTTTGTATGGTTGGACTCGTCTCGGAATGGATGTTCGGATTTCGTAAGTTTTTTTGATATATGAGACGTGGGCCCCACTGTCAATTTTTAAAGTGAATTTTAGATTTTATCCGAAAAATTAGTAAATTTATATGGAATTAATTCCTATGATTTGTATTTAGTATATTGAATTATTTGTGAATAGATTTGAAGTTTTTGGAGTCAAATTTAAAAGAAAAAATCGTGGTCGAGTAATTGATTGAAATTACAAAGCGAGGTAAGTGTCGTGGTTAACCTTGACTTGAGGGAATAGAACCCTTAAATTATTTATTATGTGAAATGCATGTGAACGACGTATCGACGAGGTGACGAGTGTCTATACGTCGTCAAATTAATTGTTTGCATAATTATTTGAAAATCATAA